CTTTCTCTCAAAGCAAACACAGATCTTTTATATTTATTTCAAAGAAGAGTTTCTGGGCACCTAGAGTAAAGATGAGAATGAAAGAGACAGAAATGGACCAAGGTCAGAGTCCCACAATATTCTTTCTTGTTATTTCAAGTGTCACGTCCTGAGAAAATACAGGTTTTCTTTTTGTTAAATCTGAAGAAACAAGTAGGCTACAAGATGGGAGACAGAATGACATAGCATAAGGAGAAAAGTCCTTGGGGTGAGATGTCTCTGAATTCAGATCCGTGCAAGTCACCAATTTTTCTAGCCCTACTTCTTTACTATATAATGGCGATAATGGTACCTACCCTCATACTGTTGTCATGGGGGCTAAACAATATATACAGACATATTGTTGGTACCCAGTAAGCAGTACTGTTAATATGATTTAGGGATATGGACTAGGGACTCATTTATGCACTGAGGTCCTTAAGAAGAAAGGGGATGAAATTCAGCACCCTGTGGCCTCTACTGCCCATCTGAAATACATTATCATCACTTCCAAGTCTTAAATTATGTAAAACATATCCCTGTGGTGCAAATACTAAGCAAATGGTAATGATGTCACTTTGGCAAAGAATGTAAATATCAATGCAAATAAACAGTACTTGGAAAGGCAGCTGCTTTTATCTCATCACTGCAGCAATCCTCTCCAGAAGATTTAGACATTAAAACCACAATGGTAGAGGGCACCCGCAGACCCTTCTCTCTACCTTTCCAGCAAGAGTAGCTTTTTTTTTTCCCTTTTGGAGGAAGAAGAGCTACTATATATCTCAAAGAGAAACTGTATCTCACGATGGCCCTGTCTTCTAACAGACAAGATGGCATTGTGCACACAGGCAAGTCAGAGAGTGAACTATAGCACATATGCAAGGTGCCTCATCTAAGTGACAGGTTGCCTACAGCACTGCATGCTGATTCTAAGCAACACCTTTAGGGAATAGTTGACAGCTGCAGTCTTGACAAGAAAAGAGGAAGACCTTCTTGAAAAAGTATGTGCATGCAAGCAGCACACACACACAGAGACAGACATGCTTTCACCTGCCTCATGCTTTCAGAGTGCCTCTAAAAACAAGACAAATTAAAAATAGCCACTAGGGAACTAAATGACCACGGGGATTAGCAAGTTGCTTAAATATGTAATTCTTCACTTTTCTGTTTATATGTAATTATAGACCCTTGACTTGTCTACCACTGTTTGCTAGGATTTTTAGAATCCACCAAGATTATGCCCAGACCTCAAAATAGTAAGCACCAACGTCAGTCCTCCAGCAAGGGTAAAGTGGGATGCAGCATCAGGAGTGGCCAACACGTGAGGCAAGTGTGGGCTCTCTGTCACCTTGTCAATACTAGCATGGCACAATGTTTGTTCTTAGCTTGCTGGCCTGGATGTGCTAGATAAACACTTCTCATTATCTTTCCCATCAGAACTCCAGGGTCAGAAAACCACAACTCTCCAAGAGGTTAAGCAAATGCCATATGTTAAAGGAAAGAAGTAAGCAATAAAATAGCTTATTCTAATGTTTATTTTTCAAAGTAGCAGGAAAAAAAAAAAGAAAAGTAGGAAAAGAGAAAGACAAAGCATGGCCAGGGATTGGGGCAGAGATTATAGAAATAAACAGCCAAGAGATAAATGTATACAAATACAGACCTTATGTGTTCATGAATAATTCAGGATTCACACTGCACTGATGCGTTTAGACAAGAAGGGCAACTGGAGCTTTTAAAGGACAAGGACCTCTGACAATTTCTTGGGGATTCTTCAGGGCTCTTTTCTTTTCTCATTACACACATGCATATGCACATATGCATATAATACACACACATGAATATATATACATATATATGTATATACACACACACATACTTTACATTGATACAAGAAAGCTTAGGTTCTAATGATTGAACAAAGCTATTACATCAAATATTAGGCAATTCTACTTTTAATTCCACAGATGTTCTCTTTTATTAGGGAAGATGACCCAATGGTTTTCTGACTTTATTCCCACCACGCAGTTCCGAATCCAATGGCTCATTATTATAAATATGCCTGACCAAATCTGCCTGACCAAATCTACCTGCCCATGCATTCCTGCTTCTTTTGGATATACTCTCCTAATTAATCTCTAAACATAGTGCATATTTTCTCGCTTCTGCTGCTGTGAAGCCAGGTAATACTGATACAAGTCACAAGCCTCTCTATTTCATCCAGAATGCAGGGTATATGACTAGACATACCTGGCATCTCTATGTCAATATCATTTGTCTAAAGGAACTGATTTTCTCTTCCTGCAAGCCTATTTTTCCTTCTAATTGATATTTGGTGATTATTATGATAGAGTTCTTGCTTCCCTGAAAATGAGTGTAAAAGTCTGTGTGTATATTTAACTCAGTTTTTTAAATCTGCTTTTCAAAAGAAGGTAAACACCTCCCATGTCAGTTATCAAACATAAAATTTTCACAGAATCATTTCGTTTACTAGACAGCTCTTCTTATAGGCCTGATTCTGTCTGGTTTCATTCAACAATAGTGACACGATCCCTGGCCAAATTATTTCTGGGCAAAAGTGACGAGGCAAATTAGGCAAGGACCTCCACACCTGAACTTAGACTTCTCTTTTTGTTTCTTTGAGAAATCCTTAGTTCTGTAGTCATCAAACACATCCACACTCTTCAAGCTTAACAAATATTTTCTGCATTGACCAGCAATAGAAATAATATAGATATTTACTATTTATCTCTCTTTATACTGGGGAAAAAACACCTCCATATGCAAGTACTTGTGAGTGAAGTGGACTATCCCATTATTAGAATTATGCTATAGAAATTTTTTTTTTTTTTTTAGATGAAGTCTCACTCTGTTGCCCAGGCTGTAGTGCAGTGGCTTGATCTCGGCTCACTGTAACCTCTGCCTCCCGGGTTCAAGTGATTCTCCTGCCTCAGCCTCCCGAGTAGCTGGGAGTACAGGTGTGCACCACCACACCCAGCTAATTTTCGTACTTTTTAGTAGAGACAGGGTTTCACCATGTTGGCCAGGATGGTCTCGATCTCTCGACCTTGTGATCTGCCCGCCTCGGCCTCCCAAAGTGCTGGGATTACAGGTGTGAGCCACAATGCCCCTCCTACTATATACAATATTAAAAACAATGTAACCTTCTAAAAGTAGTGGTGCATAGATTTAACCAAATATGGGAACCCTAATGTCTCATGCCTCATTAACTCTTTCAGGTTCAAAGTGTTCTAAAGAGCTTCCTTTTATTGAATAATAATGGGCCTTTTGACTTCTAAGTACAGATTCCATTTCTTGCCATTAAATCTGTACTGACCACAATGAATTCCCCCTTTAAAAACACCATCAGGGCAGGCATGGTGACTCACACCTGTAATTCCAGCATTTTGGAAGGCTAAGGCAAGAGGAAGACTTGAGCCCAGAAGTTTAAGACCATCCTGAGCAACATGGTGACAGCTTGTCGCTACTAAAAATAAATATATAAAAAAAATTAGTTGGGCATGGTGGCATACACCTGCAGTCCCAGCTACTTGGGAGTCCGAGGCAGGAGGGTCACTTGAGCCCAGGAGTTCAAGGCTGCAGTGAGCTACGATTGTGCCACTGACCTCTGGCATAGGCAACAGAGCTAGACCCCGTGTCAATCAAGAAAAGAGAAAGTCACCATTCTGTGTATGTATTGCAACAGATGTTGTAGCCCTCACCCATCCCCTGCCATCACTACCAGTCATTTCTTACCTGAGCATTCTTAGCTGTCATCCACATGATAAAGGTTCAGGATCTTTGTCTTCGTGTTTTCTTACTCAGAATGCCTTCTTGTTTGCAAATGCAATGAGGTACCAAAGTATCTTACCCTTTATTAAGCCTGACTAGCACTAAGTACAACGAAATTATTTGCACTGTAAATTTCTCTCAGCAGCTGATGTTCTCCATTGAATTTGTGGTCAACTGAAATTCCCTGACCTGCTTTGCATGGATTTCTATCAAAACAAATCTTTCCTAAACTAATTGTGCTTATTTGTTTAATATATTTATTTTAATGTAAGAAAATAGACTCCAGAATCAGGGAGACTTAAAATTTTTTTTTTCAGTCACAGTATTTTCAAGCCCATGACCTTGAGAAATTAATTGAATACACTTTATATTCAGTTTTGCCATCTAGAAAAAAATTAATAACTTCATGCCATAAGTTCTCTCAAATAATTGAGAGACATAAAATGCCTGGGATAGAGAAGGCCTTCAAGAAATCTGAGTTCCTTGTTTATTTCACTTCATGGTTCCAGATCATGAAAACCTTTTTGGATCTGGTATCTGTGCCGTCTGTAAATGTGGTCAAGCCTGTGTTTTCGGTGTCCTCCTGTAAACCATGTAAATCACTAGATAATGGGCCAGCACTCAGGACAGAATTCAAGGGCTTCTAATCAAAATGCTATCAAAGCCACATGGAGGGTTTAGAAAACTCCATGCATAAAATGTTGATTGGTTTACTTCCTCGTGAGTTTGTTTCATTACTGTACCAAAAAGGTAAACAGCAACTTAGAATATAAGAAAGGTGATGTCACATAATATCGCTTAAAGTCATGTATCACATATATCAAATATTAGTTACCATGAGGTGTTTTTTATTTTAAGATGGGATCTTGCTGTGTTGCCCAGGCTGATCTTGAACTACTAGGCTCAAGTGATCCTCTTGTCTCCCAGAATGCTGGGATTATAGGCATGATGAGCCACTACACCTGGCCTTTCATGAAGTCTTAATTCACTAAAAAAGACCCTGTCTACAACCATATATATATAATATGTGTGTGTGTGTATGTGTATATAGTTGTATTTATATATAGTTTATATATAAATAATATCGGTACATTGATCATTTATTAATATATAGTAACTTATATAAGTATATTAATATCATTATTTATATACATAGATATGTGTGATTATACATATGCATATATATGTGTATGTATATCATGATGCTGAAACCATTAGCAAGGAAGTTGTTTTTTTTTTTTGCAGCATTCCTTATACTAGTTGCCCAATGCTAGGAACTATACATATATATGTGTATGTATGATTTGTATATAATAACTTTCAAGATATTCCAGATCATTTTGCAAATGCCCAATAAAATAATTCAACTGAACTCAAGTATGTAAGTAGAAAAAATATTTGTTCCAGCGTTCTTAATACTATAATGAAAAATAGAATGTCCTTATATTAAGAAATCTGCTCACTGAAATCCAAGTTGTTCAGAAAAATAAATGCTTCATTAAGCCATAAATTGTAAAAATGTGAGTTACAACATCTGGTAGGGACTGATTTTAGTTAGGACTGATTATGAAATCTAACAAACTCATTTTTCACCTTTCACTGGACTAAAGGTCCAGTTAGATAAGATAGCATCTTATTTTCAGACTGGTTTTACCTTTTGACTGATTTTGAAATCTAACAAACTAATTTTTCACCTTTCGCTGGACCTTTAGTCCTATATAAACAATAGACAAAGAAAGATACCATCCTATGTACCTGGACCTTTAGTCCTATGTAAACAATAAACAAAGAAAGATACCATCCTATGTACCTGGACCTTTAAGTCCTATATAAACAATAAACAAAGAAAGGTGCCATCCTATGGACCTGGGCGTTTAGTCTACATAAACTAATAGACAAAGCTACATCCTATACCCAAGAACATTCCAGATATATAAACAGACAAGAGTATCATACCTGGACCTTTAGTCCTATCTAAACAATAGACAAAGAAAAATACCATCCTATGCACCTGGACCTTTAGTCCTACATAAACAATATGAAAGATACCATCTCATACCTGGACCTTCAGTCCTATATAAACAATATGCAAAGAAAGGCCACCATCTATACTGGACCTTGTCTCTCTAAACAATAAACAAAGAAAAGATACTGTCTATATGCCTGGACCTTCAGTCTATAAACAATATACAAAAGTACCATCCTATGCACCTGGACCTTCAGTCCTATATAAACAATATACAAAGAAAGATACCATCCTATGCACCTGGACAGCTGAAGTCTATAATAATAGACAAAGAAAGATACCATCTCGCCTGGACATTCAGTCTATATAAACAATAATACAAAGAAAAGATACCATCCTATGGACTTTTAGTCCTATAAAATCATCAATAGGAAAAAATGTATCCTATGTACCTGGACACTTTGATCCTATCTAGCAATGAGCAAAGTACATCTATGCATCCCGACCTTTCAGTACTATAAACAACCAGCAAAGAAAATCTGAAACAAGGAAAGATACCATCCTATGTACCTGGACCTTTAGTCCTATCTAAACAATAGACAAAGAAAGATACCATCCTATGTACCTTGACCTTTAGTCCTATATAAACAATAAACAAAGAAAGATACTATCCTATGGACCTGGACCTTTAGTCCTACATAAACAATGGACAAAGAAAGATACCATCTTATGCACCTGGACTTTTAGTCCTATATAAACAATAAATAAAGAAAGATACCATCCTATGGACCTGGGCCTTTAGTCCTATATAAACAATAGACAAAGAAAAATACCATCCTATGTACCTAGACCTTTAGTCCTATATAAACAATAAATAAAGAAAGATACCATCCTATGTACCTGGACCTTTAGTCCTATATAAACAACAGACAAAGAAAGATACCATCCTATGTACCTGGACCTTCAGTACTATATAAACAATACTAAGCATTTCAGGGAACTACAAAGTTCAAAGAAAGAAAACCTGATATGATGAGAAATGAAACACACATGAGTATATGGAAAATTGCACTGGTATAAAGAACATCATCAGCTGAATAAAATTACAAATCACTCAGATGTGATAGTTTGATACAAAAGTGTAAAAGATAGATTAGTTCAACAAACATTTATTGAGTACTAAGTAAGCACCAAGGACTGTGATAGGTACTGGAGTTCAAGAATAAAGAAAGAAGCCATTCTTTGGCATTGGGAAACTGGCACAAGAAATGCTATTTTAAAAACAAAACATCCTTGCTAATGGTTTCAGCACCATGATCTATCCACATATGACATATTTTGTTGTTTTCCCAGAGATAGCCTTAATACTGTACCAAGGGATGGTGGTTTCCCTTTCTTTGCCACCAAACCACATTTCAGTCAAAACTCCTTTAATCTTTTAAATAGTTTCCCACAGATACCCTTTATCTTTTCTCCGATAGAATGGGGCATTGGTCTTGCAGTTAGAACAATATATAGTGCACTTTAAATACATCAAGCCTTGAAAATAATTATTCCCAAACGCCTATCACAGTTTACCTGAGGAAAAATATACAAAACAGGCACTATTCACATATCCATTATGCTTTTGGTTAGACAGGAAGAATGCAGTTCTCCCACAGCGGTACCATCTTGTGGACATCATCCTGAGCTTCACATACCCATTAACAATGCAGAGATTGCACCAGCAACTCATGAGGCCCTGGCCAACTGTAACATTTTAAGATCAAACTGTAGGAAAGTAAATACTTACTGTAGAAAAAATGTCCACTGCTTATTTAGTCTACTGATAGCATTTCCTGCGAGAGAGAATTGTGTATTTATTCATGGATATTTGCATGTTTAATGACCAGTGAGTTCTGCTTTTATGAATAGCATTTCACAGACATGTTTTTATTGAACATGGGGAATTGAAAAATTGTAGTAATTAATTAGACACCTTGGGCAAAACCACAATCCTGTGTGTACTTGCCAAAGACCTGAATTTTATATTTTAATCTGAATTGTTTGTTAACATCTTCTTTAATTTTGTCAGTACGGCTATAATTTTATATTATTATCCAAGACTAGAAGAATATATCTATTATCCAAGGTACAACAGAAACTTAAAAATAAATACATAAATCAAACCTCTCTGGCTAGCCTTGCTTTTAAGCAAAATACACCCTTGGGCATTTCAGGGAATATCCTAACCAGACAGAATCCTGCCATGTTAGTAAGAAAATCAGTTTCATACATAAAGACATCCATTAACAGAGTTGGTCAAGAGAGAATGAAATTCATGCAAGAGCAGTGGTACTGCTAGTACTCAACTGCAATGAGATCTTTACTTGAATCATGACTAAAATTCTGAGCTTACCTAAAAGCAACATGCATGAAATTATAACGTGGACAATAATTACTCAAAAAAGATAAAAATGTGTCCAGGAAAGGCTCTATATCACCAGTGGAATGAACTAGAAGACCACATCTCACACCTTTTCACTCTGTCCTCCTAACTGGAACACAGTTTTTCCTATTCATCTCATCACTCCGAATATTTCAAATCCCTAAAACATCAGGTCTGCTTTCACTCAGCAGTTTTTACTGCTGTTAAATGCTAATTGTTAATTTATTTCTCTTTCCAAAAGCTCTCCAAGAGCCTGAGCTTTTCTTCATTGAATCAGCTTGTCCTGAGGATATAGCTAAACCTGCCTTTGATCAGTGTTTAATCCTTCTAGATGCTCAGGGGGGTGTGGTTTAGTATTTATGAGAAAGTAATTATAAAGGATGGAGAACAGGAATATTATAGCTTCTTCTAGCTCAAGAAATGACCAATCAGAATTTTCTGTCCCCTCTTCTGTCTTTATAGAGAAGAGATCATGCTAAGGAATGTAAAATTTGAAAGTCTGGGAATACTTCTAATTTAAAAGGGAATGTAGATTCCAAGTCCAGCAGATTTTATTCTACTTACAATGAAAGATCTTTCAGAAACAGACTGTAACGTAGATGGAGAACAGAAAACATATCCTCTTTTATGTTTAAGCAGTTATGGGCAGCAGTTTCTAGCATATATTCTTGGGTAACTGTAAGAAAGTATTACCTGAAAACCAAATAACTATATAACTTGGTCAAAAACAAAGTGAGTGCAGAGAAATAAATAGAACATCAATATTCAATGATTAGGATATGAACCACAAGGAAGGGAAAGTAACACTCCCAACACAAATGGGAGTAATGAGGCAAGAAATTTAGAAATAAAAATTTAATATGAGTATTATAAAATGTTCTCTGGTGAACAATCACAAGAACATGCAAAAAATAGTGATAGAAATCCAATAACGCCTAATGATTATTCAAAACTGACCCCAAAGAATGTTCCATAGAAATAAAAGAAGCAGAGGCACCCAAGCCCATTTCTAGTTCTTGTTTCCTGGACTCACGTAAAGGAACACTCCCAATAAATCCCATATTACGCACCAATACTGCCTGTGTGACTGAAACATGACAACAGCTGGAGAATGGCTCAAGGTCAACAACAGTTACTGCTTCATTCTAGAAACTTGGTGATGATGCTAAATGGGAAAGAAGTATTTTGGTGGCATTCCAACAATGGCTTTTCACAACATTCCTCACCACAGATAAAGTAATCATTCTAGCATTGGACATAAGAAAAAGCAAATCTGAGATCTACTGTGTGTTGTTTCTGGGTCAGGACCCAGCTCCAAACTGTCCCTTCCTTCCTTCCCTAATTGCTTCTTCACATCTGCTCATCTGCAGAGCCTATGTTTGCCTTTGCATGCATCAAGGGCTTCTGTGCTGATGATCTGACACGAAAGAAGATACTTTCTTTTTGAGATATGAATTCATGTGTTTTCATTTTGTCATGCTCTTGAAAATGTTTGACCATTTAGCATATACAATGCAAGTTGATTCTCTGTTGCATAAAACACTATATATTTTTTGGAAATGTTACTGTCCAAAAGCCTCTTGAAAGAAGGTACTTTTAAAATTGTGGGTGAATTTAGTGCTCTCCCCCTTTTTGCCTAAATAATCTCATTTCTTGCCCAGTCTAACTTGAATTGGGGCTATGAAAAACCTACACAGAGATTTTCTTTGAAAAATGTCATTAATATTTCACACTCTTACATTGGTTTGAAATCCTTTTGCGTACATTCCCTGAACCAGCATCAGTAAAACTTTCTGTGGACTCAGCCCACTCCCATTGTAGGTATTTTCACTCATTTTTAACACATAAACATTTATTATTATATTTATACACTAAGTGTGTTATGAAACAGACTATAACAAAAATGTAAAAGAATAGAATTAAAATAAATATAAATAGATGTTCTAAAACTTTTATTCTATGCTGCCTTCCAATGTATATATCCCACTTTGGAGCAACCTGTCTACATTATGAATTGTCATCATCTAGCAGAACAATACAATTCTGTTGCCGGGGCTTTTCCTTCCTGTCCTGGGCTGAATTGTGTCTCTCCCACTCCCAAAAGATATGATGAAATCCTAACCCCCTAGTACCTCAGAGTGTGACCTTATTTGGAAATAGGGTCATTACAGATGTAATCAGCTAAGATAAGGTCATATTGGAGTAGGATAGACATAGTAGGATAGTAGGATAAGTCATCCAGTATGACTTGCATCCTTATGTGAAGAGGGGAAGACACACAGTCACTAAAGGTGAGAATGTCATGTGACAATAAGGCAGTGATCAAAGTGCTGCAGCTGCAAACCAAAGAATGCCAAAGATTGCCAGCAAATCACAAGATGTTACAAAGAGGCATTGAAGGATCCTCCCCTAGAGCCTCCAGAGGGAGATTGGCCCCACCAACACTTTTTTCTTTTTTTTGAGAAGTAGCCTTGCTCTTGTTGCCCCGGCTGGAGTGCGGTGGTACAATCTCAGCTCACTGCAACCTCCACCTCCCAGGTTCAAGCAATTCTCCTGCGTCAGCCTCCTGAGTAGCTGGGATTACAGGCACCTGCCACCACACCCAGCTAATTTTTTGTACTTATAGTAAGGACAGGGTTTCACCATGGCTGGT